CCCAGCTCATTTGGGTCCTCTAGCAGTAGTATTTATTTCTTGAGGAAACAGCATTATATGCACCCCTTTAACAAACTTCCTGTCTTATGTTTAAACAGGCTTTGAAGGTGAACAACATCGTCAGTTAGATTTAGGGAGTGACGGCCATTCTCTGTTGTTTGAATGGATCACTACTGTCATCAAATATAAATTAATAACAAGAAATCGATTGTGGAAGACAGGAGCTGTTACTCGAGAGTCGCTTCAAAATAGTAGCTTGGGAAAAATCTCTGTATCTTTTAGAGTTAAAGAAAAATAAAAGTATTTTTCGTTTTTTCGGGGTATGTGCATTCGTTTTGTCTGTAACTGAGCTTATGAAATGCTCAAGTGATTATGTACCACATAATTGTCATAATTTCTCAAACTCAATCCATTCTTCATTTCCTGTAGAATAGGTTTTATAAACTCTTCCGCAAAAGCTTTCGAAAAACTGTAAAATACCCCATAGATTTCATGTTTTTGTGGCATATATAAACGCGTGTCTCCGTGATCAGTTTAACATGAGACCTCTGACATGAGACATTGCGTTAATAAATAAACTTCGTGTGGTAAATTTTTTTCGCTTTTAGTCTTAAAGCAGCTGAACATTGCTACGATGTATTTCCTCCTTGATAAGTAAAACCACGAGTTTGGAAATCAAACCATAGAAATGCATTGCTTTGCCAGTGAAAATCTGACTTATACAGGGACATGACTTTTTGGCGTTGAGTCTTGAAAGTCTTTAAAGGGCCAAGAAAACCTACTGCTGAAAAATCTACAAGTGAAAAACCCGCGTAGAAAACGTCCGATTTTTTTCATGGAGAATATTTTTTGAAAGAAAGTACGGTATTCAAAGCACCAACGAAATGGCTTTTAAAACGACCGTATATTTACGCGAGTTTTCGATTTCCCGCCATCAGATTTGATGCGCCCACGCTATTGTCGTTCAGCGGATGCACGCATGCGCATGCAAAATGCCCTCCTGTTTCCCCAAGCAAGAATCATTCAGTTTGTTTTCTCTTCCATGCGAAACCCTGTTGTTTATCGGACCGCGAAAAAAGGAGTGTGTTGCTAACTATTTAAGTTGTTATGTAAGCCTTAACCAGACACCTTTTCGTTGCAGTTCACTCAAATTTAAAATTTCTAGACTGAAATGACACCAGTTTGAAACTTTACGGTGTCAGATTACTGAATAAATGTTCTAAAGTTTGCGTCATTTTAAATTTGGACTCTTTGAAATGCTTCTAGTAACTACTATCTCACTGCCTGCAGTCAGAAAAAGGCTTTTAATTGGACTTTGAATGAAGTTTTATTGTTATTATATTGCCAATTAGTAAAATGAGTTGATTTTCTTGCTAACCCATCTTTTAAAAATCCAGGTATAATTATATCAACTGAATCTTGAGACTCAATGGTCTCCTAAAACTACTCTTAATCTCGAGAATCTCAAATTTTTTAAAAAACCTATCGAGCCTAATGCACAAATTACTAAAACTTACTCTAATAAAGCTTTTATTGCTAGTCAGCCTGGTGATACTAAATGTTAGATGAAACCCTTGCAAATTCATTCGCCGTCGTTGTGGCGCTTTCGGTGGTAGCAATGATATTCAGTCATAGAAACTGTGCATATCTAATAGTGTCCGTAAAGCAGGGTTGACGATATATCAGAGTTTTCCGTGACTACTATTAGTTGCGCGTATGGGACTCAAAGGATGCCGCCGCCCGTCAATCAAAGAATCCAAGATGGCGGTTGTCGAATGCCTGTCGAATGACTGCCGAATGTCGAAGGAACATAGAGGGTTTGTGGAGTCAATATAGAGTGTGTAGTACTCATTCGCAGTAGGTAAACTTGTTGTGGAAACGGTTATTTTATTTAAAAATAAAGGTATCGTAACATGAACGGGGCTATAGCTCAATCGGTAGAACGCTCGCTTCGCAATCGAGAGGTTCAGAGATCAAAACTCTGTGGTTGCACTTTTTTTCTTTCGGGTCGGGTTAAAGAAACTTGCGTAAAAACATATCTAAAAAGAGTCTACTCTACCAGGACTTGAACCTGGAATCTCCTGATCCGTGGTCAGGGGCCTTATCCATTCGGCCATAGGGTCATTTTAGTTTTTAAAAGAAGGCATAGCGAGGTTTTGATCCTCGGACCTTCGGGTTATGAGCCCGACGCGATAACCACTTCGCTACTATGCCGTTATAGAAAAAGAGACCAGAAAGAAACAAGAAGATTTGAACGCGTGAGCTTAGGATCAGTCAAGAAAGAAAGGGCGCCCTTATTAATGTTAACGCTTTGCGCTAACACGTTCGCGGCCGAAAGAAAAAGGAAAAATAAAATTAAAAAACATAGCGAAAAACTATGATCGATAGGGAATCGAGCTCGGGTCTTCTGCTCGACAAGCAGAGATACTAAGCAGCTGTACTACCGCGACTTTGTATGAATTGGTTATGATTTTTTATTCATGTGGTGGCTCCTAAAAGAGCCGTTGTGATGTCTCTCACGAGAGTTTATTCGCTCGTGGGCTAAATCATTGGTTGTATTTGGCCGGCAGTCTCTATATCGTCGACCAATCTTTTTAGAAAAGTGCGTAGCTGTTTCACTTGATAGTGACAGTATCGGTCAATAAATCGACTTCCAGAGTAGTCTCTAATGGTGACATCGTGATAAGTTATCCTGGCTGGTGGGTTGTCTGGTTTCCATTTTGCAATAACGACAAAAGGATCATTCGCTAAAATCTCCAGCATAGCGGGCGTGATACAAGCGCCGAGCGTATCATAAAGAACCTCGCATCTTGGGCAATCGTAAGAGGAAGAAGGCGTGATAAGTTTCTGGAAAGCTTTACCTGCAGCAGCGAGAAGAACTTGGGACATGTTCAGCTTGTATCTGTACGATGGAATAACATGTGTTGAAAGCGTTGCACTTTATACGTTCACCGTTCCAGTCACTGGTTTCGTATGCTAATGGCAGTCACTAGAAAATAACAAAGACCATGCAAATTTCGCTGAGCCAGCAAAACAATGTATCACGTACGTACACGAGACATTATCAAAGTAAATTGGTTAAGACTTTTATTAAGTTGGTGGCTCCTTAAACAGCCGTTGGACAACATTCTCAAAGAACTTGATGACCCGCAAGATCAACGCAGAAACATTGACATTGTTACGCTAGATTTCTTTGATCGAAACCAAACCACCAAGGAAATACGACTAATAGAGAGAGAGTAAAACGTTACGGACTGGTCTTTGACAAACGGGTCATTGATCGAGCCACCCGCGTCTCCACACCGTACGGCTACAACTGGTTTGGAAACGAAGCGGAACTCTTGCTTTCTTTGTAAAATGTTGCTTTTTAACAAAACTAGGACAGGATCAGGGCGCATGGTGACGCCGATCCCAGAACTTTTGCATGCTTTTTGAACAAATTAGGTATTGTAACGTTTCATCGACAGGGAGGTGAAATGACAGAATAAAGTAAGTCGCGACTCAAAGTCTTGTGTGGTCTCTGACTATAAATAGAGGGCGCCCTAAGGGGTAACACTTATTCTTTATCGGCATTATGTCGAATATTTACTTAACCCTTGTAAGTGATGTAACCAAAAGCTATGCTGGTAATGTGGCAAATCAATTTAAAGTCAAACCCCACTTTATGTTACCGGGACAAGGATTGAAAGTGTCGATTGCTTCGGCGATTCTCCCTAAAATGGCTTTATTTAAAAACTTACAGAGTGCCAATGTGAATTCAATGGAATTATGGTCTGAGACTGAAAAAGCAGGTCAATCCGATGTGTGGCAAAATGGTTATGTCAATGCAGACGATTTACGTGAATGGGAGAAAGCAGGCGCCTGTCGTGAAGGGGTGGATTTTTTTAATACAGTGAAACATAGAATAGAAGAAACAGCACACGCTAGTTTGGATGATGGGTTTCGGTTTAGTTCAGCCCTTTGGCATACCTTAGCGTGGAACAGAGATGGAGTGCAACCGGAACTCGTCTTAACTCATAGTCATACGGATAATTTAATTTATATCTACAAACCGTTCGCGGAAACATTGCATTGGATGAAATCCCAGACCAATCAAGCCGACAGCATGGGACCGAATTTGGTACATAGCTACCCCAATCATACTAAAGGAGCCAGTTCCTTGGATACGAGAAAACCTACCAAAATTCTTGGCAATCGGCTTCATTTAAGTGCTCTCTCCGATTACCGTTTTTTTAACCTCAATCAAAGTTTTGAATAAGCCTTAAACCTCCACCCCAGACCCCTGGAAGTCACAGCCAAATTAACCGCCAACAGCGTGACCGTTACGCAATCACTGGGTCAAGTGTACTATGCTCCTAAAGGAAGACAACGCTATGCTTTTACTCCCGTCCAAGAAACCTTTCAAGAGGTACAAGACAATCATTGGGATGAAGTGGAAATCATTCTCAAAGAATTGGATGGCAATCTAGTTCAATTTCAGTCGGATAGTCAATGTGTGCTTCAGTTACATTTTACTAAAAATTAAGACACTGTAAGGTTAAGAAAAACATGTTTTATTCAATAAAAAAGGCACTACAATTTGAGTTTTCTCTTGGCTTGCATAATTTTCCTCACCATGTGTTCTGTCATGGTTTTCTTGCCGGGTAACTTGGTAATGGCTTGGATCATCTTGTCATCTGCTTTCCACTTATCTTGCAAATTTTCATTTTTTTCGCAATTTCGTCTAACCGATTGATGCCTTTATCGCCCCCTTTTGAATGCCAGGACCAACATATCTGTAAGAAGGAATGTGAAACTCTATGCCAGTTTTTTCAATGGCTTTTTGAATATCGAAATTTCCCCCTCTCTGTCGTCGCTTTCTGCGAGTTTTCGTACGTGTCCTCTTACCAGTCTTTGCCATCAAGTTTACGTTTTGCGGGTGTGCCTAAGGGTTTCCAACCAGCGGCTGGTGCTAACTTTTTTAACGCTCTTGCTGGGGCTTGTTTTAACGCAGATTTTGCTTAACAGTCTTTTTTTCGTTCCTCACTCTGGGATTTGCGTGTACGTCTTCTTATGGCTCTGAGACTGTCTCTGGATAATTCACCCGGACTTTTCCAAGGAGATTCGCCTACCTGTTCTGAAAACGGTAATTCTGCGGCTAATTCTTCCAAAAACGTTTCAGCTCTCTTGTAAGTAGACGAAGCAGAAGACGGTTTCCTTTTGGGTGTTTTGCTTTTGGGAGTCTTGGGTAATAAACGCTTTCCTTTGGACCCAGTTTTAAAGGAAAGCTTGGGTTTTTTCCCGCTGGGCGGAGTGTGGGGAGACTGTTTTAGAGCCGGTGGAATGGGTGTCTGCGGTGTAGCAGCAATTGCTTTCCTTCTTATACCTTTTTGAATTTTGGCGATATTTCCCATGAATTGTTGCCAAGGACCTACGGCTAAATTACGTTCATCCTCGTCATCTGTGTCGTCTTCATCACGTCCTATACCGCGTGTCCCTCCAGGCTGACTAATTTTTTCGTCCATTGTCGTAATTGTCGGTTCACCGATTTTAAACGTGGTTCTTTCCAAGTATCAGGGGCAGGACTTTTCAGCAACAGTTCTTGTTGAGCGGCTAACCCGGCTGCTTTGGCCAAACGACTATCCTCTAAGAGATGTGATTTATATCGATAACGTAACTTTAAAAATTGCACAGAGTTTTCGACCGGTGTACTTGAAATCCCGTCCATCCTTCTAATGTGACCTCTCGGTTGTCAACAGGGGTACTTATAGGTTTTTGGGTCGACACCTGTATTTCATTTTTTGCCTAAATTCTTTGATCATTTGAGCCAAGAGAAGAAAGTGGTCTAAAAGACACAGCAATCGTTGTAGCAACATCTCGTTTCATGTCTAGTATTGGTACTGGGTTTTGCAAAGTGATAACGTTTTAATTCTTTCCAAGCACCGGCACCTATTTGTTGACTCATCAATTGTCTGCGCCTTTTTATACTCTGACGAGGATTCGCAATGAGACGAAAGGGTTGACTGTAAGGTTTAAGGGCACGCACTGTTTTTCGGCCTGGAAGTATTGCCCCACGCAAGGTATTAATAACCAGTTCACTCACAGAATTAATTTGATCGGCATTAGCATAGCGAAATTTTTGTTGCCGTTTATGTTGGTTTGCTTCTTTTAACACATCGTTTAAAAAGGGGCTTTGCCTTGTCATACGGTTCGCCATCTCTAGGTCTGTCTCTTTTTGGAACGACGTCGCCTTTTATACTTATTTTTCTCTAAGGATTTTAAGGCTTTCATTGTTCCTAATCCACCCATAGCAGCAGCTTTTCCTCCTGCCACTAAAGCAGGAATGGCTGCGGCTAAGAAGGGTGCAATGCCTCCACGTTGTCCTACCACTTCGAGTTTGCGCTTTCTGGTGGTACCATGTCGTACTTTTTTCGTTTTGAACTACAGGATGTACGAATAGACTGCCTTTTTTATCCTCGTCAAACGTATGCACCAGAGGTCTGCCCTCTCGTTTGGTTAAATGGCTCCAAATCCGAAAACGGTCATCGGAAGCAGGATGTAAATCTAACATAAAATAGCCAAAGGGACGAGCGGTGAGTTTTAAAAATAATCGAAGCACTCGACGCCATTTTTCAGGGTACACTTGAAACAGTAAATGACGTATGCCTGTCTAGTCCCTCGGCGATTTAAAACAAATCACATAGTGAGCGTTGCGGTCAATTAATCACGCTAGCAGGTTGTCGAATTATTCTCGCCGTCTGTAATATCGCACATTATTTTTAATACCTTTCAAAGCCTGTTTGGCTAAAAACGCCCCCATTTTTGCAAAACAAGGTGAAGGACCTGATAATCCCATAGCCACCCCTTCAGCTATTTTGTCGAGAAGACGCGGTTTTCGTCGAAATCTTGCGCCTCCTTTTTGACCTTGTCGCCTCACTCGGCGACGTTTTCGCCCCATAGTGTTTGATACAAACGTGGAGACACCGACTGAATAAGCGTTTGCATTTGTTCCCTTAAATACGTTTCCCCCATGGTGTCTATATGTTGTTTTAGGTCCTCCCACATCCTCACTTGCGCTAAACATCGCACAAAATTCCAATGATACCCATCCTACATGACTGCTGGATTAAGACCGTGAGTAACCCACTCATTGAAGTGATCTTGCCAATACAACCATTCTTGTTGAGCCAACGCCTTGACGATTTTTAAACATCACCCCGAGTTAACATGATTAAAATAATCCACACAGTGATAAGTGACACACATTTTATTGAGAACAATAGCAAAAGGTGTTGCAGCTTACATTGGATTGTTGATAGTCGCTCCTAGTGAGCTCTGTTTTAATCAAACGTTGAATCGTTTCACCGACTCGCCTATCATTTAACACTAAATTATGGGAATGCCATTGCGCTAAAAAATCTTGAAAGGAAGCTATCTTGGCTTTGGCTTTTAAAAATAACAGAGCAAAATGCCCGGAGGTATAACTATCCATGGCTTGCAAGGTTTGATGGCTAGTCATCACTTCTCTCCATTGTTTGAACCAAGCTTGTAATGTGGGGTTTTTGTAACTAGAAAGCGGCAAACCATAGCTGTCAAACACTTCACACATTCTGTTATGTGTCCAAATAGCTAGCCAATGTTGCCCGGGTTCTCCAGCGGGATCAGTGTTCACAATGTAGGCATCGCTACCAACTCTCCATTTAGGCACAGTGGGTAACTTGTCTGCTGCAAACCCACCACGAAATTAGGGTTTTAACTCAGGATCTTCTTTGGCTAAGTGGTTGAGGACCATACTCATACTCGCTCCAGATCACCACGGTAATATTGGGGCACATCGCTGTCCTGAAGTTAATTTCATAAGGCACATTGCCTGTGAGTCTGGGGTTTCTGTATTCAGGGTCATCGGCATCTCCTACTACATTATTACACATGTATAAGGTGGAATTTTTGCCTTGTCCCCAATCTCCTGCTAGCAGCAAGGGTGTTCTGTGATGTTTGTAATCCCCTGAAGCTGTCAGGAAGCGGTCATACCCTACTAAATCTTCTGCGGACGAATTGCCTGTGAGTTCCAAAGCTCTGTATGGGTACTTTTCGCCGTCAATCTGCTGTCGAACTCTCTCTTGTGACTCCAAGCTTTTCATAAGCGTGGGGGTAATGTTTCAGACTGCCATTGTAATTGGTGGAATTCATTAACCCAATAATGACCTTAATGGGAACCTTGTTCAGGAAAACATTGTCTTGTGCCCATCGGGTGCTGTTGCCATCGAACGAATAAGTTCTGATTTCACTGCGAACCACAGGATTTCGAACTTTCTTGGTTTTACTGAGGGTCCGTTCTTTCTGCAGTCTAGAATACACGGAGGCATTCAGGGTCACTTTTTTCATCCACAGTGTAACAAACAAGTCATTGTCTCCTAGGGTAGGAATATTTTTGTTGACAGTGGTGGTGGTGTCTGGCGTACCAAAGAGAAACATGTTGCTGTCATTCAAATAAAATTCCAAATCAATTTGCACTCCAGGTACAAGACATTTGCCTGTTCTGAACACAGCGATATGAGGTTTGATCATAAAGGTATGATACGCTTTACCCAGGAAGCGACTGGTTAACGCTTTGAGCCCTGTTTTTCCATTCCAGTCATTGGGATTGGGTTCATCATCATTAGCAGCATTGGCGGGGTGAGTGAGTCACGTACATTCAATTCATTGACCCATCCTTCAGCGCCCAAGGTCGCTTCTCCTTCTTGACGATTATAATTCTGCAAGGTTTCTAGGTAAGCTTTCTGGTGATACGCATTGCTTTGTTCTGTCATCAAGACCCCATTGAAGGACACTTTCATTTGATTGAAGAGAGAATGACCAAAATTGTTGACTCAATACACGTATTTGGTGCTATTACCATCCGAGGCACCTGTTTCGTTGGCGGAAAGACCTTTTTTGCCTGCTGTGTTCATACGTACTTTCACTTCCAGCTTGGTTTCATTAAGATCATAGTAATCATCGCTGGAGGGAACCGTAGAGAGAATAGGACGTCTTCCTGTATTGGCAGGTTTGAAAGGAATCCACCGTTTGGCTTCATACCTATAGTCAATGCCAGGAACGTCAAACAGATCCAGAGACATGTTGACAGACTGATAGCTTACACGCGTGTGCGTCGCCTTTTTATACGTTTTCGGCCTTTGATCATCCAAGGATAGGTAACTTTATGTACTTTCCCTCCTTTTTGGTTTGCTCTTTTAAGGGAAAGAAGTATCATGTGGTCTACCCCATAAGGTTGATAGGAGGCCATAGCCCAAGGATTCCTATGGCTAAAAATAGTGCCTCCTTGCTGATAGGGTGAGTGGTAATGACCAATGGATCGCTGATGTCTCACACAAGATTGTGATTTCTGTCCACGTTGCATAATTAAACCCTTAAAATGTCTTTGAGACGTTGTCGTTTCTTTTTATAGCTTTGTTTGGCTTTTGTTTTCACCGAAAGACCTACCACAGCTGGTAATTTGCGTTTGAGACCGCGTTTTAAGACTTCCCCAGAACTTTTTAATGCATCTGAGGCTGAGGCCCCTTTTTCATAGGCTTGTAGACCACGACCAATCGAGCGCAGTAAGGAACGACCTGCTAATTTAACCAACTCTTGGGTAAACCCTCTTCCTGTCAACATAGGGGTATGATACCGTGATAGTGAACATCCCAACATGATGATTGTTTTCTGTGTGTAGGTCAGACAGGAAGTCCGTCTTTTATACTTGTCGAAACCCCAACGTGATCAATGTTTTGCCGGGTGGTAACACCAACAAATTACCATGTGGGGTAGCCAAGGGCACTTCAATGCTTTCAATTTGTTGATTTCTGACTCGAATCCATTCACGATGAAAGGGTTCTATGGTCGCTCTTCCTTCCCCTTTCCGTTCTAATTCCACTTTTCTTAACACGGAATGTTTTTGAGGTCCAACAATCGTGGATTCCACTGTCTTGCAACACACCATCACGGTTTGTGTGACGGTATCCACATGGGTATTAAACAAGGTATTGAGGTTTTGAAAATGCTAATCCACATAAGGGGTGAGATAGAGATAGGATTGCCCATTCTCTATTTTGACTTTTAATAACGCGTTCCCTCCTAATAAATCGCGTGGTTTAATACCGACAAAATGGTCTCCTAGCCACGGATACCGTTGATTGCTTCTGGTCGGTGGGGTGCGATCTGAATAGGTCACTTTGGGTAAGACATAAATAAGTAAGTTCGGTCCTAATTGGTCTTGGTTGGATTTGTCTTTGAACAAGGAACCAAACTTTTCGGCCAAACCCACATGAATGCTGATAAAGGTTGGACATTTAACTGGGCATCACGGGCATACACATCTTCATGAGGCACCCCTTTCAAAATAAGCTTGTCTTTTTTCAATTCAAAGGTCGGTTTCCAGCTGGATTTCAAGGAGATGGTGGCTGCATTATTTTTGGCGGCTTTCCAGGCCGCGGAGGAAGCATTTAAATCTTCCATCATGGTTTCTTCCATATGAGTCACAATATTGTGCCATAATTGAATGCCTGAGGTGACAGGGTACGAGGTACCCATGACCTCTTTGAGGGTCACGGCTTTGTCTTTGGCTTGAAAACCGATCAACCAATCATTCGAACTGTCTTGATAACGTGAGGTAAAGGTGTAGTGATATTTCAGTAACGTGACGTCGTTGTTGGTGTTAATGACGGTGGGACTATGACCTGCATCCGCGACAGACATACTCCACAAACTGGCTTGCCATTGGTTGCCTTCCAAATTGAGTCGAACGGGTAAACGTACTTTAAAACTATTGTTTTTGTTGTGGGGGTATTCATCCGTGGGATCACTGATCAACGTAATACGAAATTCCTTCATAGCACTTGCAAATTTTTTTCCACACCCAACTATTGTACTCTTTAGGCCAACCTTTCCACGACACAAATACCTGTTTGCCTTTGCGTTTTAACACTTGATCAATACGAAATAACGCATCATCCGGCACCACAACTTTTTGAACATCCTCTTGATAAAATGTTCCTTTTATAGGGGTCCCGTTCCATTCCGTCAGTTTATACGTGACCACAGCTTGCGTGGTACAAATTCGTTCCTATGCGGGGGTTAAAGGCAAACTCTGCTGTTTTCTTTTACGGCAATACGAGGCCAAAGTGCAGACTTTTTCTGGCAAATCGCCAAAGGGTCACTGCCCTTGAATAAACTGAGCCATGACTACTTCGTTCGTCTCAAACTTTTCGGACCCCAACGGAGGTTTCCACTCCTCGTGTTTCTGGCCATTCACACACGCTTGAAACTCGTGGTTGGCAATGCTGTTGATTTCCTTCCACCACTCTCTTTTCTTTTAGGCTTGGACAATTTGTGGGCTCCAATGAAGGGTAATTGGTAGAGTTTTCTTCCAGAATTGCTTGGCTTTGTCTGAGCTTCCCATTGTTCGTTTTGCTTTTTGGTGGTTTTAGTAAACTGATTCAACCATGCTAGATCACGTTTCCACTGTTCGACATTCTTTTCCGCTTGTTGTAACCACTCTGTCTGGGTCTGTTTCGTAGCAAACTTGAGCTGCTGGATGGGTCTCCTGTCAATGAAGAGTGGTGTGTGGATCCACTGAAAGTACTTGCAGCGAGAATCTACCGTAGCGGAAGCTCCACAGGTTAAGAAGACTTTGTTCAGGTTTGTGGCGGTTTAACTGAGTCGCATTTTAGGAATCAGCGAGCAATGTCATTTTAACTGTTCCCCTTTGGCATGCACTTCTTGATGAATAGCTTCTTTTAAGGCATGATAGACTTTCTTCTTATCCTCGATCTTGCCATAACATCGAGGGCATGGCTTGTTTCCTTCAAAAAGGAGAAACTGGGTGGTTAAAGGCCCCTCAGGACTAAAACAACCTGCGTTGACCATCTCAAGATCTCTGTTGAAACCTTCAGAACCCATGGTAGCGAATAATATGGATAATAAAAATACGACGACATTTATAAGGGAATATTAAGTCCCCAGGGCGTTGGGCATGTTGAGGCAATGACGTCATGCTAGGTCCCTAGGGGTCTTTGGCAAGTCAAGACAAGTCTAATAAGTTCACGTAGTCATGTTTTAATTTGCAAAACAATTTTTTACAGCACTTTAAGCAAAGTTCTTAGGGAAACACAAATCCTGCAATGGTTTCTTCATATTCCACTTTAGGACGTTTCTGCATTCTTTCTTGCACCATGTCATTCAATCGTTTCTTCAAAGCAGAACGGGTTGCTGTTTTAGGGACATAGTTGGGTTTGGGTGGTTGACGAACCCACTGAAAATAACCAATTCGCGTCTCCCTCGTCTTGGGACAGCTTAGGAACACTTTGTTCTGGTTTCTAGGGGTTTGACTGAGTTTCAGGATAGGTACTAATCCACAGTGACAGGCTAAGGTTCCCCACTGATTTAGTACTTTGGTATGAATCTCACTGCCTAAGGCGTCTAGGACTTTCTGCTTGTTTTCCAAACTACCAAAGTACACAGGGCATGTTGATCTTTTTCCTTGATGAGGAAGAACAAAGTTGGTGTGCAGAGGTTTGCTTGCATCCAGCAGATACTCTTGCAAGGCCACTTGCTCCAAGTCTGTTGGCATGTCCAAGTCTGGCTGTGTTTCCATAGAACTAGGTCCACATTCAAGCAAGTCTTGAAACATCATCTCTTCATACGTTGGGAGATACTCTGGCTTTTTTTTGAGGATGGACCAAGCATGGCAAGGTTAGAAGGCACCGTTTTCAACTTCTCATAGGAAAATGAAAACTGGTTGGCTGTCTGCACCATGGTGTCAATTTCGGAAGGGGTGTACATGAAACCAGCGTGTTGTTCCTCTGGATTAAGCTGTGTGACTGGAGCTTCCTCTAGCGTTTCAATCACTTCGATTCCTGCTGTAGGCGTCTTTTTCTGCTTTTCGCTTTCTTGTTCTTGGCTTCACCCGTCTTTCTCCATTTTGTCAGGTCCTGACACCGGAGACTGTGACATCTTCAATGGTTTTACAGGCGGTTCTTGCAACTTGCACATACTGACTGATCTGATCATCAACGCACTCGTTTATAGCCAACTAAAGTCCTTAGGGAATTGGACATGTCTGGGCAATGACGTCAGTCGTGTCACGTTCTCTCTAGGCAGGGTATAAAAAGAGTGGACTTCCCAGTCGTGTCAGTGATTCGAGCTTCTCTCTTTTACATAATAATATCAAAAGTCTTAAGCGAAACCTTGAAAACTTTCAAGTTCATCTATTGGACGAGTGAAATTTCGAATTTAGCATTATAGGAGTCTCAGAAACTAAAATAATCAGTGGTAAAGAAATGGATTTTAATCCAAGCATACCTGGATATGTTTTCGAATATGTGCCGACTCCTCTAGCTTCTGGAGGTGTTGGCTTGTATATTAATGACTCCCTGAAATGTACTGTCATTGAAAAAGTACCTGACGAAGCCTTCCAGTCACTTTGGATCAAAATTCTACTTCCACAGAAAGTAACATCATTTGTTGTATCATATATAGACAACATAACTCTCCCAAACGTTTCCAAGAATATTTTGGTGATAAACTTGAAAGACTAATTACCTCAAACAAATCAATATATATTATGGGCAACTTCAACATAAACCTCCCTCATGCCGGAACTTCCTGTTATGCTCAGGATTTCTTACTTTCGCTTCAAAGCTTTTCATTTATCCCAACTATTGACAAACCAACACGAGTTTACAATAACTCAGCCACCCTAATTGATAATATTTCAACAAACAAAGTTGATGTTGAAATTACCAGTGGGAATATTATCTCTGACATAAGCGATCACTATTCACAATTCTGTATTTCTCACAATTTTATTCAGAGGCCAAAACGCGTATGCTGACACTAAATTGAAATCTCTTGAAAAAACCGTCAATAGCGAACTACTCAAAGCCCCCCACTGGCTCAATGCAAATAAGTTAACGCTCAATGCTAAAACGTCAAACTGTGTTATCTTTCGTCCTTATCAACGTAAGTTGAACTACTCGGTTAACATTGAAATGATTGATAACTGAACTCAAATTCCTACCACGCTTCAGTGCGAAGACCATGTTAAATATCTTGGCGTCCTATTGGGCAGCAATTTAAGCTGGAAATTTCAAATTAATAATGTTGTATTAAAAGTAAGCAGAACTGTTGGTGTTGTTGCCCGTCTTAGGCACTTCGTGCCGCGTACAACCCTTTTAAATATTTATCAATCATTGATCTTGCCTTCTCTGACATATGGTTTGGCGGCTTGGGGTCAAGCTGCCAAAACCCATTTACAAAAAATTCTCTTGCCTCAAAAACGAGTCCTTCGTTTGATGTACTTTTCTAAACCTAGAGCCCATGCTGTGCCTTTATTTATTTCCTCGAAAATTCTACCCTTACAAATGTTATATGCTGAAAAAGTATCTTCTATAATGTTTGACGTTTCCTGCATGAATGCTCCGTCTAAGATCTGTGATTTCTTCACTAAAGCTAATTCAAAGCACAAGCATAAGACCAGGTTCTCTTCGTCTGGAAATTATTATGTCCAAACTTCAGGACTGAACCTAAATCAAGATTCTTTTTCTAGGTTTAGAGCTAAACTTTGGAAAGCAATTCCTAACGAATTTCGTCAACTCTCCAAAGGAGCTTTTAAAAAAATTTCATGACTTTTTGCTCTCGATGATGGAAGCAGAGGACGATTATGCTGAAGTGCCCATTCTCCTACAAAAAATGACAAATTCTGCATCCTCGCCTCAATGTACTAATAATCGATAGGTTCTGTTAGTAGTAAATTTGATTGTAATATCATTCTGTAAGACTATATATTTTGTAAGTTTAGCTTGCTTTTCAGTAATTCTTATTTACCCACATAGTTTATTTAGTTACTTTACCATCATTATATTATCTGTTATGACTGCTGTAACCTTTCTTCTCCGCCCGCCTCGTCTAGCTTTTGCTATTTGCGGGTGGAGATAGCAAAATGATGTGCATGAGATAAAGTAGAGTGTGTGTGTGTGTGTGTGTGTGTGCGTGGGTTAAGTCATACATTTTATTCAACACGATGACTCAGCCAAGCGAATCCTCGTTTTATGTTACCCTTAATAGCAGAAGAACGCAGGAATTTCCTAACAATTCCCCTTCACATTTTCATTACCGTCTCCCTCAAACGTTATGGTTATCAGGCAATTGGAAAGTGGGGTTACCTAGTTTGTTTTTACCTGGGGCTCCCAATCCTATTCCTCATGTAGTCACTTCTCATACGAGTCACTCTCTCACTGTGCACCATGAAACAGCACAACGCCCCACCAAACCCTTTTCTTACCAATCTTTATACATCTCTACAAAGGCAGCAATACCGATATTTTATTTCAACAATATGCCGAAGCGTTCAGCAACAATCAATCAAAAGAGATTTTGTCCAAACTCAAAAAATCGGATTTGCAAGATGCACCCAATGGTTCTGAGTTTATGGGCAAAGTCTTTCGCTGGATGGAGCAAGATTTAAACCAACAATTACCCACGGGGTATGCTAATACAGGTCCTTTAGATGTCTGGCGAATGACTGTTACTGCTGAAGACAATTACACAACCTGGTTGTTACGTTTTACGGATATTGACCCCACCAACCAAAAAGTGTACCCTATTTCGCCATCAATTTTCTACTAGCTCAACGGATGGGTTGGATCAAAGAGACAACCAGCAATGTGTATGATTTAGGCTTCAATTTAATCATGGAACTTCAAAATAATCAAACCTCCGTCAAACCTGATCCGGCGACCTGTAAGAATAGTAAATTTACGTTCACTAAACCCATTCATGTGGCAGATGGATTGGTCTATCTTTCCTCTACCTGTCTTTGGCGGTTTGTGAATTTAAATGAGGCCTTTGACAAAGCGATTCGTCAACCCTATGAAACCCCTAAAACAGAAAGCAATGTTTTCAAACCATGGATGAGTAATCTTTCCCTATGGCGTATGTCAATTGGTTTAAATTTGGATGATTCTTTCATTGAGTTGTCCGTGTCTCTTCATTATTGGAAACCGACCACTCTAAGTGTGTCGCTGTTCGAAGGGGTCAAGATTGTGGATGGTGTGTCGAAAGGCGAATATAATGGAGAACTGGAGATTGATATGAGCTCCTTGACCCAAAACAACACCTACACTGTGGCTTTCGAATGGTATCAAAAAGATGTATGGCTGTTTAATCGTTCCAACTTTTCGGTAGAAGGAACGGGTTTAGAAGTCAATCATCTGCGAGTTCAAAAACATACTCATGAGCAGAACAAAACGCATTTGATTTATTATCATACACCGACGATTCAATTTACGAAATCTGTCAGAGGCAATGCCACTCTCAATGTTAAATTTGAAATTGGGTATCCTTTGCTTTCCAAATATCCCAATGAATTGAGAGGCAGTACCTATTTGGTCCTCTAAGTGGTCAACGGGCATGTGGAACAAGTCCCTGATGTGTACCATGATGACCCTGGTCACACACTCCTCGCACACGACCACAGAGACCATTGCCATCAGTACTGGAGACAAGAAAGCTTCTAACACCCCCAAAAATCATGGACAAGCCAACACACGACCTCTGTTTCTGTATTGTAATTTAACCAAAAGTGTACATGGCAACAACACTATCATGCAGGCTGTCGCTTATAATAACGAAGAAACATTGATTGAATGTAACCCACTTCAATTTTATTCTCTTCGAAGTCATTTAGTTGACATTTTGAAAGTAACCTTGACAGAATGGAATAAAAGTCTACCGGACTTCAATCAAGATAGTCCCGTTATTGTGACCCTGTTTTTTTAAAAATAAACTGGAAGAGCCCCAAAGGAAATACATTAGGATTGGAGAGTCAGTGGACCATGACCCGACTATTTAAGCTGAGGACAAGGATCATGTCCAACCAGAATGAGTGACATCGAGCGGAT